TTCACCGGAGTCTGCGTGAGAGACAGTTCAGTTAGCGTTGCAAGCTGGAGCTTGATTTCTAGATGATAACTGATTGTACCTTGAGGGTTCTTGAGGTTAGCTTTGGGAGAGTCACTGTTGGATCTGGAGAGGAGTTGATCAGCAGAGTCCGCTTGCTGCTTCAGCGTCTCACGTCTAATAATGAACAGACCTTGGCTTAGGGTTTTCCAGCTCTTAGTCCTGAGCTGCATGGAAGTTCTCTATGGTTCTTCGGGTTTGGCTCAGAGGGTCGGCTCGGCAGGTTAGCTCTTCCTGAGCTTCACAGAGGAGACACTGGTTTCCTGGAAGACAGAGACAACGGTTAGAATCCTGGCTGGATTCAAAGTCACGAAGTAACACTGAGAGTCTAGGCTTAGGCGCTGACCAACTGGATCAACACTGCGGCGTTGAGGCAAGGTCTGAAGACAGCTTATAAAGTGGATCCCCTGATGATCTTGATGGGCTGCAGCTGTGCAGGGGGCTCACTCAGAAGGATCCACGGCGGACTCTGCTGGAGAAAGGTGGAACTTCTCCAGCTCCCAACAATAACATAATAGGGAAGAGTTAAAATATAAACAATAAAATCCTGTAAAGTGTTTTAACAATATAAAACTGGGGAATAAATAACCAATATGCAGCTATGGACATTTTTACAGTAATGGATATTTGAAAATAGCAGCAGCATCAGAGATGTGCAGGATGACAGCAGCAGGTTATTTAACTGACTAAGGTTTCCATCATTACATTTGATTTAATTTGTTCCTGCTCCCGGTGGTTGGAACATTTATTCCACTCTGGATTCTTGTGAGTGTAGTCTTTGTTCACGTCACAATAAAAAATAAATAAATAAACAGTTTTGAAAACTTCTGTAATAATTCTTTTCCTGCTTTGTGTGTCAACGTTCACGGTTGCTAAGCAACAGAGCATACGGCGGTAAAACCCGCCAAAGGGTAGACCTGGTCGAATTTACAGCCAAAACTCTTCCAGTCTCCTTATTTTCAAGGACTTCGAAGGATCCAGTCTAGGTAGACTGCGTCCTTGGAGGACCCGTCCTATGTTTTCGAACAGAGCCTAAGTTTAAGACCATTAATATTCATTCATTTGTTCAGACTATAGTTCGTCATTAGTCAGTTTGGAAAATAATCAGTCAGACAGTAGACCAGATATATTAATTGAAATACAGCAAACACTTTACATAATAAATATGATGGGGCAAGGTAAGGATAGATATTAATGTTAGTTTTAGTATAACAGAAATAAAGGGTATAATTAAACAAAACAAAAACAAAAGCGAGGTGGCAAAAGTAATGGGAAGAAGAAAAGAAAGGAAGTGGTTTTATAAAATCCAAAAGAGAATTGGACAAATGAGAAGAAAAGAAAGGAACAGGAGAGAAGAGAGAATTATTTCACCACTTAGAATCAGACACACAGGATTGAATAGGTCTTTAGTTTTAATAGGGATACATCAGACAGGGAAATGTGACTGTGGGGAAGATGAGCCGGTGGAACATGTTATTTTGAGTTGTAGGGAATATTTGATTCAGAGAAACAAGTAAATTAGGAAAATATGAAAATGAAACATGACATTGTTGATTTACTGCAAAAGGAATTAGGAAGTGCAGGATATCAGGTTATATTTCAGTTTTTGAAACAGGATAGGCTATAGGTTTTGTTTGTTTCTTTTTTGCCATGTGGTACACACTCCTTACCAGTTGGTGGCGGTAATGCTCACCTAACATTTTTGCCAACCGCCATAAAAATTTCAACAAGAAGAGGGAGAATCGTTTGTGACGTAAACCGAAATGAAGGTAGCTTGTTACTGCAGATAAATCCGCCTATTTAGCAGTTAAAAAGGTGTTGCGTTCCTATTCAGGTTCTCTGGTGATGATTTTTGTTTCGGTCTTAACGTGATGCATCAGGAAGCAGACGAAGAAGAAACCTTGAAACATCCAGTAGTTTTCTTCGACCTGGAGACAACCGGCCTGGGTAAGAAAGGATGAAGCAGAGAGAAGCAGACATTGATCAGGGATTTAATCCCAACTTTAACCACTCCCTTCCTAAACAATACAGCATCACAATAAAAGCAACTAAAACAGAATGTTTAAACAAATTCTGACTCTCTTATCTGTATATTTATATTATTTATGTGACTTGTTATTCTTTTTATTCGTTTTTTTCCTTTTTACCCTTTCAAATGCCAAACTTTTATTAATCTAAATTTGTTTTCTCTAGTATAGTGTCCTTACACACCTGGCAGTCACTGGTTTCTTGTACAATTGATGAAAAAAATGATCCAAGATCTATAATCAAGTTGGAACAGCATCTCCTGAATAAATCTTTTATGTTTTGTTTCCTCTCAGCCTGGAAATTGTTTGAGGGTTTGCACCATTTTATTTTCAGATCTTACCTAAATCGTTTAAGAGGTTTATTGTATTTGTTATAAGAAACAAGACACAACATGTAATTGAAGTGTTCAGACTTTGACTAGGCCATTGCAGACATGTTTGGGTCATTTCCAGCTCATCCATTCTTTAATCCCAGGCAGGCGGACCGGTTTTCTCTAGAATCTCTACGTATTTAACTTGATTCATCTTCTCCTAATCCTGGACTGGTCTGTGAGTTCTGGGCTGTTCTCTCTTTACAGGTTTTCTTTGGTAACTAGAGGTGAGGGGGTTTCAGGGGCACATTAAAAATAGCATTTAAAATTTTTTTTACAACCCAATGACTTTGGCCATTTCTCAGTTCACTAGAACGTGAGTTCAGACTCATGTCCTCACCAAGTACTTTCTTGAGAAGAACACAGGGAAGTCTGGACTTTGTGAGAACAGGAGCGTGTACCTTAAATAGGGGTCAATTGGAACAGATGGGTACTGATGACATCACCACACGCTCTGCTTGTCTAGAGCTGCATTTCACCTGTTATTAATAGTCTCTAGATAATAATAAATTATTCCTTTTTTTATTTAGCGGGGGACTAACCCTGAGCTTTTTGCACAGCTTGTTCCTCATGGTGTCGCATCTCTTGCTTCTTGCACTAAGGTAGAGTGTATTTCACTCATGTGACTTTTAAAGGTAATTTTTTGCACCAGATCTTTTTAAGGTCTTCTTAGCAAACAAGCAGTTTTCTGCTCTATACATAGCCATACTCTTCTCCCGCTTCTTCTGGGCAGCAGCATCAGCAGAGACTCCCAGACCTCCGTCTCCTCTGACTCCTCCTCCAGCTCTGCTTGAAGAAGCCCAGCTGAGAGACATACTCTCTGCAGCGTCCCCTGGGTCTCCTCACGGTGGGATATGCCTGGAACACCCCCTGAGGAAGGCATCCCAGGGGCATCTGAGCCTCCTCAGCTGACCTCTCTATGTGGAGGAAAGCGGCTCTACGCCTCTCCTTAATGACCGAGCTCCTCGCCCTATCTCTAAGAAAGAGCCCAGCCACCCTGCAGAGAAAACTCATTTCAGTTGTTTGTATCTTCTGTTCATGATACAGATAAATGTTTTCTTTCAGGTAGCTTCTTGCATGGCTGTAGTTCCTCTTATTGGATTATTAAAGCCCTCAGTGGAACCAAAAGCAGTTTGAAGGGTTGTGTCTCCTCTGAGATCCATCCATGTCTTTCGCCGCAGAGCAAATGAGGCGCCATTCTGATCTCTGCACTGTTTCCTCTCCAGGTCAAGACTCTGAGATCATCCAGCTGGCAGCGGTAAGCGGGGGTCATTCACTCAACCTCTACGTCGTCCCCCGGTGTCATATTCAGCGAGGAGCAGCCAGAGTCACGGGCTTTAAGGTCCGGAGGCAGAGGCTCTTCCTCCATCATCGGCTCGTCTTCACCAACACCCTCAAAGAGGTGGTGGTGTCCTTCATCGCTTTCCTTCAAATGCTCGGTCGCCCTCTGATCGTCGGACATAACATCCGACGCTTCGACTGTAGGCTGCTGGCTCGGGCTCTGGACGACCTGAACCTGAGAGCTACGTTTCAGGCTTCGGCGTCGGGCTTTGTTGACACCCTGCCGCTGGCTCGGGAGCTGCTGAGGGACCACGGGCTGCAGAGTTTTGGCCAGGAGAACCTGGTCAGGGAGCTGCTGGGGATAAACTACAAGGCCCATGATGCTTTGGAGGACGTGAGAGCTTTACAGACGCTCTATAGTTTCCTTCAGCCGAGTCCAGACGTGCTCCGCAGGCATACATTTACTTTGGACTCTATGGACAGCAAACCAGGTGTGCCAAGAAGCAAAAGGTAAAACCTCACATCAGCTGCAAGGACGGCGCCCCCTGGTGGAGCATTTCAAACAGAGGGAAGTCGATGCAGAGAAACCTAAAAACTCGACTCCTTCCTTCAGCTGCCTCCCAGGCTGCTTGGTTGGAGCCACTGCAGCAGGTTTCTCCTGACAGTGGAACCAAACCGAACACACTGCAGCACTTTCAGCACATCTCCCTGTTTTTGCAAAGATGGTGGACAGTTTGAATACCGTTAGATATTTATTGTATTGCTCAGAGATGTTTGTTTACCACGATGTTCATCTATTTATGAGCCGGAGCAGTTTTATGTACCTGATTGTTTCATAAAAAAAAAAAAAAATCTCCCTAAACTTGAATAAAAATAAAAATTAGGTGAGAATTTAATAAATTCTCCAACGATCCATGGTCGGCTTCTTCACTGTGAAACATGCTGCTGGCAGCACCAGGCTGTGGGGACAAGGTCACCTTTAATGAAGTCAGACTGGGGCAGTTTCACCTTCTAGGTTAACTGAACGTATAATGAAATAGCTTCAAGGGTTAGATTGGCCTAGTCAAAGTTCAGGCCACACCAGTTAAGAAAAGGAGAAAAACTGTGAGCAAAGCTAACAGATCTTCAACAATTTGAATGTTTCACCTTCCTTCCATTTATCCATTACTGGTTGCTCTAAAACTTAATGCTGTGGCTGTACGGAGATAAATGTAATAAAATAAAGTATTGCTTCAACAACAAAAGAAACCAGACTGATTTAGGGTTTTTTTTCTTTTTTTTTTTTTAGAAGCACACAAAGACTATATTAAACCACTTTTCACAAACATGTCCTGCATTCTCATACATTAATCAACAAAACCTCTAAACCTTAACAGGATTCGAGAGGTTTTCCCCACAGAAACATTTCACAGTCCATCTACAGTGTTTGAAACAGACAAGATCAGTAACAGAAGCTGAAAACAAAACACAGTAAAATTACATGTGGTGTTAGAGTTGCAAAACAGAAAAATCACTTAAGGGAAAAAAAAAACGGGGATATTTCCATTCTTTTATTTCAGCAACATGAATGAATGGAGGCGTTTGAAGAGAAAACCTCCAGGAAAAAGCAGCAGGTTGAACTTATTTATTCAGAGAAAGTTTACTGGGAGGCAGCAGAACAACGACATTTAAATATTTCGAGGTCAACTATAAATGAGCTGAGCTTGTTTTGACCCTGTTCTGTAGCCGTACTTCATAGGAAGTTCAAATCGTAGAGTAGAAACTTCTAGAAACAGGAGCTTAAAGCTTTTCTTCACTGCCATCCTTCCTCCATTGTTAAAACAAGTGAAACCTTAAATTCAGCTTGTAACAAGGAGAGCTCAAGATTATACAGAAAAAGTTAAATTACACTCCTGAGAAAATAAAATCAAGGGGAACCTTGAATTTAAATAAAAAATGCTTATAATCTCCTAATCAGACGTGAAGTAAAGAGTCTCAACTTGAAACTATTACAGAAAAGACAAAGATATATTTATTTCTAACATAATGAAACCATTACGATATTGAAACATCTGTTATTTGATGAAACAGGACAAACAGCAGACGGTGAGAATCCCCAAAACCAGCTGAAGCTGTTACCACGGTAATCAAAAACCAATTCAAGACATTATCAAGACGCTACTGTAAACTCAATGGATAATGATCGTCTGCATGATGTGAAAAATCCGTTATTGGTTTAAAACTCTGCTTCTGTTTACAGTGTTGGAGCTTCAGGCACCGACCTGAGCCTGCAGAGATGGACGTAAAACCCCGGTTCTGCAGTTCAAACGGAAAACATGAAGCAACAAGCATGTCTGTTAAAAGACGGATTCACCAAAGCAACACCCTAACCCTCCCCATGCATGCAGCGTATCGTCGTACAAGAAGGGTCGCTATGAACGTATCAAGCACTGATGCAAGCTGCAAAAAAAAAAAAAAAAAAAACAGCATTCCTGAAGCTCCACATTAATCACTGTTTAGATTTTCAAACCAAAAGCAAGTGATCTCTGATCCAAACTAGTAAACTCTGCAGCTTAGTTTCAATGTATCTGGCAGGAAGCAAACAATCAGATGTGTGACAGCTCTAAATAAATATCGGCATGCATGGGAATCCTTGTTGCTAAGCTACATGTCACTGTAGTGATAAGAGTTTCATAGATTGCTACCTCTGCTGGTGATCCCAGTGGAAGACAGTTGCTGGCTTTTTAAAACAGACCACTGCTGTGTTTTCAAAGTAGTACTTCACACGACCAGTAGGTGGTGCAATAAATGAGCGTGAACATTTTATAATACAGCAAAGATGCTTGATGAGAAACTGCTGTTGATTCAGCACTTTATTTTTATTTTTGTTTGTTTCAGAAATGATTACAGAGCTCTGGGAATAACGTAAGGTCCAGCACCAATACAGAACTTGGGATGTGCACAGGTTCTCATTTAAACGCTGCAATGGCACTAGAGGTAAAGAAAGGGTTCAAACTGATGATTACCCTACACCATAATCCTGGAATTGTTAAAAAAGCTGCTGGGATCCTCAAGGTGTTAAAAAAGAGCAATGGATGCCGTTACAAAAACTGGATCTGCTGTTTTTAATACCCCTACCAATTAGTGCACGTCAGTAGTCGGACCAACTGCAGCGACACGGCCAGCTCGGGATGCTACAGAAGGCTGCAGGCTCGAAACAGGGTCATCCCCGACTGGGAGGAGATCTGCAGAGACACGCTCTCATTAGCTGAGACAAACAGGACAGTCCCCCGCCGCAGGGTGATGTCGGAGAAAGCGGCGGCGGAGGTGGCCGTGGCGTCGCCGTGGATGACCAACAGGATGCTGGCGCTGTCGACGGAAGCTATGGTGTACTCCTTCACTGAGGCTGGGACCTGCAGATGAATGGAGATGGTTAGGGGAACTTACCAAGCCTCGGTAAAGAAGATGTGTTCCTTTTCACACAAAAAATGTAATTAATTAAACCAAGAGGAGCTGCTTTTTGTAAGAGAAAGACATTTTTTTGTTTCTTTCTGCATTGTCCAAATTCACAGTTTGCAAATTAGACGAGTATTTTAAGTTCGGCAGCATTCATGTTTTAAAGCCATCCAGGATTAGTTATGACAGATTTTATTACAAAAATATTTTAATAAATACAACAGGGTAAAAAAAAAACGTAAACTTTTTAGAAATATAAATAAATCATTTACACCCAGATGTCGCCATGTTATTAAGGTTGCAATGCATTCTGGGTAAATGATGCATGCTAGGTGAGTAACGTTAAACCTTCTCAGTTTAAAATAAAAAAAAAATATGTAGAATCAGAGAGGAAATGAAGATGAAGAGGAGCAAATGGAGGAAGAAGAAGCTGCTGTTTGTTTGGCTGATGGTTCACTTTATAGAGCGGAGACTATATGGTGAACTTTATAGTGAACTCAGTTAACTGACCGGACAGATAATCACTACTTTTCGCTCCCCATTGGTCACGTAAATCCGCCTCTACGCAGCATGGAGGCGGACTTACGCCTCATCTAGTGACCATGGATGATCACTACTTTTCAAGGTGCATTGTGGGAAATTTCAAGTCCACTACTTTTTTATCCACTAGATGTTCGGACACTCATTTAAAATGGCCTAATCACCATCTAGTGCCCTATATATCAAAACATTTCCTCAGATATATCAGAACGATGTGTGACAACAACTGAAGGATTCTTCTGTCACTTTAAACAGTCATTCTCCTTTTGATTAAGCTTTGATTTCATGTTAGCTTCTGCTAACAATGATAGCTCTAGCTAATAAAGTAAACAGTAGATTACGCTAGTTATCTAATGTGCAACAGGCTCATGAAAACATTGATTGGTGTAAATTAAGACAATGACACAGAGCTGCTGCCTCAAACACAACGGCTTTGCTAATGTTAGCCTTCCTGTGTTGGTGGTAACAAGTCTAAGGTTGCAGCATCTGTAAACGATCCGGTGGGAGACGCTGATGTTGGAAATGTTTCATCAGAGTACGCAGAGAGAACAGGGATCTATCAAGATGGAATGAACACAAACTTCCCACCTGAATCTTCATGACGGTGAAGTCCGGCACCGGGGGGTCGTACAGGGTAACACAGGGGTCAGCGAGGTCGGGGACGCACGGGAAGATCTTGGAGGAGGCAGATGCAGGCATGTAGTTCAACATCTCGCACAGCGTGTTCACGTCGATGTATTTACGGGTCAGTCCAGCTCTGACGGTGTTGTCTGAGCACGCCATGCACTCGATGCAGTCTAAAAGACAGAATAATAAAACTGATCCATTAGCAGCATTAGAAAACCTCCTTTGTTTCACACATTATTCCCTCACAAAACATTCCAATCAGTGCTCTGACGGAACAAGAGATCAGCTTTTTTTTTATGCATTCCCTTGTAGAAGAAACCGCTACAAAATGTCTACATCCCTTGTAGACACTGAGGCTGGTTCTGCTGGAGGTTTCTTCCTATTAAAAGGGAGTTTTTCCTCTCCACTGTCGCTACAAGCATGCTTAGTGTGAGGGATTGCTGAAGAGTCACAGAGTCAAACAGTTTTCCTTAGATAGAAAACTTTATAATTCAACCAGATCAAACAGTCAAATTGATTCAAAGTGCCTTGAGATGACATGTTGTGGCACTTTAGAAATAAACTGAATTGAAAAGTGAATTGAATGTTAACCCTAAACCTTGGGGAGCAGGGGGCTGCCACTGTGGGGCACCTGAGGAGTAGTCTGGGCTTAAGGGTCTTGCTCAGGAATCCAGAGTGGCAGTCTGTGGGAATGAGTGGGACTTGAAACGAGAACCTTTAGCAAACCTCCAGCGCGATGCTCTAACCACTAGGCCACTGCATCTGATGCCTCCTGTCCACTAAAGTAAAACATGACCACTTTCAGCTCTAGTTTAGTAGAACTAAGGTTCAGTAAATGACACTGATGATATAAACTCTGTCAGGATGCCTTCCTACTGCTTCCTCCTCTTAACCAGCCAAGAAATGCCCTCCATGTGAAAATCAAACTCAAATTAATATCAGGTTCGGCCTTCTTAAGTGTGATATTTCTATGCTGGTTCAAAATATCTATGTTAGAGTATTTAAATTTCATTGAGAAGATCAGAGGATAGAAGTCCTGTTAGCCAGCTAATTCAAAACAGGTAAACTTTTATGATCTCTTTGCTTTAAAAGAATCAGATTTGAGATTCATTAGTGTTGTGATCAAATGTCGATTACCTAACCAAAACTACTCCCCCGTGAAGGCACACTCCTCTGGTGGAGCTTTTAAAAGGGTCAACTTCCTGTTCAACATCCAGGCCACCTCTCCTGCTAATGGCTACACTCTGAGACCTTCCAGCTGAAGATTAAGCTAAAGTAGCAATAAGTAGCAACCAAATCCATCCAGAGAAGTCTGTACTCGCTGGAACGAGCCCGAATACCTTCCCTGCGATTCAAAAGGAGCTGATTGCAGTAAAAGATGCCTCTTATTATTGTATTTCGGATTAATCCAAATCTTTTTGAACTGTAAAGTGCCTTGAGATGACTTGTGTTGTGAATTGGCGCAATACAAATAAATTGAATTGAATTGAATTGAAAGCTGCTTTGGACGAACGGACTGGACCGGGACCGGACCAGATGAAGAACCGAATTGAAATGAAGGTCTTCATTCCACCGAGCCAAAACCGTAAGATCCATCCTTCCTGATCCATCCTTCCCTCTTCCCATCTGATGCTTAATGCTACGCGATTGAAGCAGCAAAAAATCACCTGCTGCTTCATTTTTGATGCTTGTAGACGTTAAGGTTGATGCGCCTAAATAGCATCTTTGATGCTCCTGAAGCGTGTCCAGTCAAGATGTGTCTGATGCTTCTGCTGCTCCTGTGTTCAATGTCAGAGAGCAGCTTTGCTATATTTGCTGTGATCAGTGGGTAGAAAGTAGTTTTAATTTGCTTTTAAGGGAGAAAGTCCACCAGCACAAAGCCCCCGCACACTGGCGGTGCGCTGTCAGTGGGAATCCCCAGCAGTAGCTTGCACTGGCCCAGTCTCCTCTTTGGGCTTTCCACTATTGTCGTGGCGGCTGGAAGGAGATGTTAGCGGCTTTCATGTGCGCACGCTCCTGCTGCTCGGTCCTTTTGGTGCGCCTTGATACGCGTCAACCATTGACGTTGCATGTAAACCAGCTGCTTCTGCTGCTTCAATAGCCTGCGGTCTGAAATTAGCATCATAAGTGCTCTGCTCTGGTGAACAAGGTGGGAAAAGATGTGTTTGTATTTTATTTGAAATTAGCTTTCCGATTCAACTGCTGATGGTTTTAAGACTTTAACTGATTGCTAATGCTCACTGAACAGACTGAATGAGTCAGGTGGAGCTGAAGAAACAGCTACCGTGGACTGGCTAGCATCATCAGCTAACCTTTTCGTCTTTTCAGCAGGACCTGTACAGACAACTAAGCTAACCCACTGCTCTTTCAACCTCAACACAGTTGAATGCATTACTGAATCATTGGCCGATTCTCAATTCACGGACTCACGTTCTCGTCAAGTCCAGTCTTGGCAAGAAAACAGGAAAGTATGGACTCGGCAAGAACGCGAGCACGCAGCACAGATGTGGGTCAGTTGGAACAGAAGCTTACTGATGACGTCACCACACGTTCGGCTCTTCTAGAGCTGCATTTCACCTGCTGCTATTAATAGTCTCTAGATAATAATAAAGTATTACTTTTTTCATTTAGTGGGGGAATAATGATGGATCAATCAAATGAAAAGTTTTCCTAATAAAACAAAAATAAAAAATCGCCATCATAGCCAGCGGTGCTTCACATACGGCGATGCAGAGAGAGGGTTGCTGCAGACGGGCTGCGGTTAGCCCTGGCTGCCCTTAGCTTTGGAGCTCCGCTGGTTGCCGCGGTCCTTTCAACTGCGGAATTTTTTTTTATTTAATTACACATTAAATCGGTAAATGGACGCTCTAACGTATAATATTCTCACCTCAAATTATCTTAAAACATACTTTTATTGAACAACAGCAACAGAAAAGACAACTTTTAACTTTAAATGAAGCGCTCCATTGAAAGCTGCTGCAGCAGTGCATGCTGGGACAGCTGTCAATCTCAGGAACGGACAAGTCTGCTCTGATGCGTGCTCGATAAAGAGGGTGGGGCGAGAAAAACATCCGGGGATTTGGTGCGTTCTCGGTCTTGCATTCTCAGCAATTGGAACAGTGCTAGGGCTGATGCTAATGACGTATCACAAGCATCACGAGAACGCACAAGAACGCATATTGAGAAACGGCCATTGTTCCATTTTTCTCCATAAAACCGAATGAAACTGCACTGTTTTGACTGCATTTAACTTCTCTGTGTCAGGGTTTAGTTACTTTCATCTGCTACTATTTTAAAGGACACTTTCAATGTATTAAGCCTTAAAATTGGAAGAATCCTCAGAGACTTTGAATTGACTCTTAGAGACCTCTTCCCCCTTTTTTGTGCTTTTTTCCAGTAGTGTTTAATGCCTGCGTAGTAATCAGTGTGTGATTATCAGCTACCGTTGTATTTTAACCTGTGGTCTTTTGTGTTTATTTTACACAGTGAATGATTCATCCCTCAGCCTGGATTTATTCTTCTTTCAGTAGCATCTTCTAAAACACAATTACAGTATGAACTGCTTCTCATCAAATCCCCAAAAAACAGCAAAACCTTTTGGAGTTTTAACCTGATCAAATGTAGAAATGTTGAAATAGAATAAATCTAGATCGCTCTGACCTCCATAGATGTAGGCATGAGGCTCATTGGCTCCCAGGAACATGGCCTGGCCCGGCTCCAGCACCACGTAGTTGAGGAAGTAAATGGAGAAGCAGCCGATGTCTCCGGGGTACTGGGAGTGCAGGCGCAGCAGCAGATCCCCACTGCTGCTGGAAGTGTCCTTCCCTGCTGCACCTGTGGACAAAACAGATCAGCTGGCATGAAAACGCTAGACAGTGAGCTGAATACTGCCCCCTAGTGTCAGTTACATGCTAGTTTGCTTTGCTCAAGTAGGTAAAAAGATAACAGTTTAACTTTACTATGAGTTCAGCTCTATACCGTTATTTTGAAATGTCTGACGTAAAAATGGGAACTAATAAAAAAGTTGCTGATAGCAGCTAACCTTTAGCAGAATGCTAGTTTATTGCATGATCTCTTTCTCTTTAAAGTGCACATAATTATGAACCTAAAGCATTGAACCATGCTGATGAGCAGATTTTATATGATAGGATGACAACGTTTGCAATGATTTAATAGTTCAGATAAATCGGGATACACTGCACAGCAGGTCTCTGTGTATTTATCTATCTAATGTTTCACTTTGTGAGTTTTTAGAGGATTTTTTTACAGTGTGCATATGCATTGTGGAGAAGGCAGGTCTTAAAAAAAAAAAAAAATCACAAAAATCCACCACGATACCTTTAAAACAAATGACCCGCACAGTCACCATGGAAACATGGGGAGTGTTGGCCTAGTGGTTAGAGCAGTGCGCTTGTTTGATCCCCACAGCCAGCACTCTGGGTTCCTGAGCAAGACCCTTACACTGCTCCCTGGGCGCCGCACAATGGCAGCCCACTGCTCTCCCCGGTGGGAGTTCAATTTTGAAATAATAAAGTTCAATTATGAAACTGTAGCTTCTTCATTTAGCAAACAGTGCTGCTTGAGTGAAGCTCCCAAAGATGTGCTCATCAGTTGCCTCCTCTGTTTGCTGCCGTCTAAAAATAACGTAGAGCAACGTTCTCCCTTCATGGTCCATTTTCCCAGGATAGGCAAACTATTTCCACATAGCAGACTTTAATAAGCCCAGCAGTGCACTGCATCTAAAAGTTATTTAGGAATAGGTTTGAGGGGCTTCCCTCTTTCAGCCAACATCCAGACCATTGACATGAATACGTAGAAGTTTCTGGGCGTTGCCTTGAATGTCGACATTACAGCCATATTAAAAAGGGGCAGAGAGGAGCATCAAAAATCAAGCAACACGCTCCTTTCTGCTGCTCCTGCTGCTTGCGGACTGAGCGTAGCATAATCCGTTTATTCCAAACATCTGTGGTCTTTATTCCTTTTTTTTTTTCTTTTTTAAATGTCTCACATGTGAACCTTTCAATATCTGATATAGACAAAGATCTATGATGCAGCATTAGGGGAAGTGGTCGTTGTAAAAAAAAAAAAGAAAAGAAAGAGGGATGGTGGATTTTTTGGCTATCACTGCCCCTACATAGTTAGCATGGCTATAACTGCCCCTACATAGTTAGCGTTGCTAACACTGCCCCTACACAGTTAGCGTGGCTACCACTGCCCCTACATAGTTAGCGTGGCTACCACTGCCCCTACAGAGTTAGCGTGGCTTTCACTGCCCCTACAGAGTTAGCGTGGCTATCACTGCACCTACAGAGTTAGCGTGGCTATCACTACCCCTACATAGATAGCGTGGCTATCACTGCCCCTACATAGTTAGCATGGCTATCACTACCCCTACATAGATAGCATGGCTATCACTGCCCCTACATAGTTAGCATGGCTATCACTACCCCTACATAGATAGCATGGCTATCACTGCGCCTACATAGTTAGCATGGCTATCACTACCCCTACATAGATAGCATGGCTATCACTGCACCTTCATAGTTAGTGTGGCTTTCACTGCCCCTACAGAGTTAGCGTGGCTATCACTGCCCCTACATAGTTAGCGTGGCTTTCACTGCCCCTACTAGGGCTGGGCGATAATTCAATAACGATATATATCGATCGATAGACGTGTGGCGCAATAGAAAAAAATAGTGTCGATAAAAGTTCGATTAAAAAGAAACGTAGTTTTCCTTCCTTCTCATTGTAGCCTAGCATGTAGGTTTATGCTAGTCACCGCTTCCTCCCAACCAATCACAATCGCGGACCCAGGCACGCCGTCACCAAGCGCCGCCCTCTCAAACCACAACACAGAGCATATGAAGCTGTGCAGCAAGGAGAGGCGGAGGAAATTGTTCCAAAGAAGGTTTTTGTAGTTCGGCAGTCTGGCAGTATTTCGGTCATGGCAAGTCGGACCAAAAACAAACCACAGTCATCTGGAAAATGTGTCGGGAACCAGTGAAACCAGTCTGATAACGAAACCAACTTTTTTTTATCATCTCAGCCGCTCACAGCCGCAGGAGTACGAGCTGTGTAGGCCCCGACGCGGCTCTCCTCCGAGGAATCTTCGGAAAATATATATATATTTTCAGTTCTGGGCAGTTTCCCACGTAGTTCTAACAATTGAGATAAAAATGCTGAGGGGCCAGAAACTTCAAAGTAATAACTCAGGTTAAAGCAGGAAACGGGGGCGGCGGCGGTGGTGGGGGGGCATTTATTTATTTGTTATATTTATTTTGGTCACTTTTCTGGTCACTTTAGTTTATTCTTTGTCAGTATTTAATAACATAACTCAGGTCTCTTAAGTTATTTTTCTTTAAAACAATTCTGTTATGGTTAAAAAAGTTGGTTAAATAAAGATTTAATTCGAAGTCTGTGTTTGTGTTTTTTATTAAAATTAAATCATTTAGCAATATTATAAAAAGTCCAGGCAGAGCTGCACATAAAATATGGTTTCAAATCTTTTCAATAATTATCGATATCGCTCAATATGCATTTTTTTTTATCGATAAGCTTTTTTTCTATATCGCCCAGCCCTAGCCCCTACATAGTTAGCGTGGCTATCACTACCCTTACATAGATAGCATGGCTATCACTGCACCTACAGAGTTAGCGTGGCTTTCACTGCCCCTACAGAGTTAGCGTGGCTATCACTGCCCCTACATAGTTAGCGTGGCTAACACTGCCCCTACATAGTTAGCGTGGCTACCACTGCCCCTACAGAGTTAGCGTGGCTATCATTGCACCTACATAGTTAGCATGGCTATCACTACCCCTACATAGATAGCATGGCTATCACTGCCCCTACATAGTTAGCATGGCTATCACTACCCCTACATAGATAGCATGGCTATCATTGCGCCTACATAGTTAGCATGGCTATCACTACCACTACATAGATAGCATGGCTATCACTGCACCGTCATAGTTAGCGTGGCTACCACTGCCCCTACAGAGTTAGCGTGGCTTTCACTGCCCCTACAGAGTTAGCGTGGCTATCATTGCACCTACATAGTTAGCATGGCTATCACTACCCCTACATAGATAGCATGGCTATCACTGCCCCTACATAGTTAGCATGGCTATCACTACCCCTACATAGATAGCATGGCTATCACTGCCCCTACATAGATAGCATGGCTATCACTGCCCCTATATAGTTAGCATGGCTATCACTACCCCTACATAGATAGCATGGCTATCACTGCGCCTACATAGTTAGCATGGCTATCACTACCCCTACATAGATAGCGTGGCTATCACTGCACCTTCATAGTTAGCGTGGCTTTCACTTCCCCTACAGAGTTAGCGTGGCTATCACTGCCCCTACATAGTTAGCGTGGCTTCCACTGCCCCTACATAGTTAGCATGGCTATCACTACCCCTACATAGATAGCATGGCTATCACTGCCCCTACATAGTTAGCATGGCTATCACTACCCCTACATAGATAGCATGGCTATCACTGCGCCTACATAGTTAGCATGGCTATCACTACCCCTACATAGATAGCATGGCTATCACTGCACCTTCATAGTTAGCGTGGCTTTCACTGCCCCTACAGAGTTAGCATGGCTATCACTGCCCCTACATAGTTAGCGTGGCTTTCACTGCCCCTACATAGTTAGCGTGGCTTTCACTGCCCCTACATAGTTAGCGTGGCTATCACTACCCCTACATAGTTAGCATGGCTATCACTACCCCTACATAGTTAGCATGGCTATCACTGCCCCTACATAGTTAGCATGGCTATCACTACCCCTACATAGATAGCATGGCTATCACTACCCCTACATAGATAGCATGGCTATCACTGTGCCTACATAGTTAGCATGGCTATCACTACCCCTTCATAGTTAGCGTGGCTTTCACTGCCCCTTCATAGTTAGCGTGGCTTTCACTGCCCCTACAGAGTTAGCTTGGCTATCACTGCCCCTACATAGTTAGCATGGCTATCACTACCCCTACATAGTTAGCATGGCTATCACTACCCCTACATAGTTAGTGCGGCTATCACTACCCCATACATAGTCAGCGTGGCTATCACTGCACCTACAGAGTTAGGGACAAATTTTTCACTGGGATCAGCTTCAATGGCTCTGTTCGAAAACCTGGGCTGCATTCTCCAAGGAGGCGGTCTACCTAGACTGAATCTTTCGAAGTCCTTGAAAATAAAGAGACCGGAAGTGGTTTGGCTGTAAATTCGAACAGGTCTACCCTTCAGCGGGTTTTACCACCGTATGCTCTGTTGCTTAGCAACCGTGAAAGTTGACACACAAAGCAGGAAAATAATGAATACCGAAGTTTTCAAAACTGTTTGTTTATTTATTTATTTTTTATTATAAAGTGAACACATGACTGATGCGAATCCAGAGTGGAATAAATGTTCCAACCACCGGGAGCAGGAATAAAATAAAATCAAATGTAATGATAGAAACCTTAGTCAGTTAAATAGCATGCTGCTGTCATTCTGCTCATCTCTGATGTTGCTGCTATTTTCAAATATCCATTACTGTAAAAAATGCATATTGGTTATTTATTCTCCAGTTTTATATTGTTAAAACACTTTACAGAATTGTATTGTTTATATTTTAACTCTTCCCTATTATGTTAGTCTTATACATTTTCTAAGGTCCACATTTGTGTGACCATTTTCAATAATCTTTCTGCTGCTGTAAATTTGCCCATTGTGGGACAATAAAGAGATTTTCTATTCTATTCTATAAAAGAGGTAGAAAGATATAAGTAAATCTAAATTATGTATGCATAAAGAATATATCTGCAAAATCTCTAATATTCAACAACAAAAAATATTTAACTAAGCATATTGTGCAAAATAGCAATAAAAAATTTAACTCCTATCAGATTTATAGTCCCCACACTGCAGATATATTAGAATTTGTCCTTAAATTACAGCCGAACCCATTTACACAGTAACAGATTAAAACCTTTAGATAAACCAAACATTACAGCCACACATCTGACTCAATAACCATTAAATAACTATTTTTCATTAATCTCAGACGGAACTATTAAATTACTTGTATTATATTAAACTGAACTTCCAATTTTCACCACTGTTCGGCGCCAAGTAACCTTTCCTCTGATCACGGCTTACTTGGTCTCGCAATGAATCCTGGGTAAACCAAGGATAGCGAGGATACATCGGACCCGTCCTTCAAATCGGGCAAAAAGAAGGACGCATTTAAAGGTCGCATAACGAGGACTCTTGGAATCCGACCAGACCTCGGCGCCGCGCTATGACGTAATTGTACTTCGAATATGGCCTTCTAAGGACGCGTCCTAGGTTTTCGAACAGAGCAATAGTCATGGTAGGACACTTCTTTGATTTTACTTTGGAAAAAGACTTGGAACAAAACTTCACAATACATTGCAAATTAATATTAATATTTTTTTTTATCCAAGTTCAATTAATTTAATTGAATTTCCAAATCTGAAAAAACTGCTTAGAAATTAAAATACATTAGAATTAGCCTAAAAATTAAATAAATATAAAATTATTTTACTCACCTTTCAAATATTCATTTAGAGTGTTTATTTTATAGAATAGACTGTTTATCAGAAAATCTGCATTGCTTCTATTGGCTAATCTAAGGTAAGCTAGGCTACATGCTTTGAAACAACTTTGTCAAGAAGAGCCAGCACCATTACAGCCATGCAGAATTCTGCAGGCAACTGTTAGGACAGCTCAGTGACAGCACTAGGGGCATATTTTATAATTCGGATGTTAAAAAAAATGTAGTTTTGACTAGTTCAAATTAACTGAAATATCTTGATTCTAATTCCGGATGTGTGACACTTTAAATGACAAATCAAATGACGTCATTTGAGATATCTCAAATGCATTTTGACTCTCCAAAATGTGATTAAAGATATCTTGAATTGTTTTTTTTCCCCTTAGACATAATATAAAAATATAAAACATCATTAAGGGCAGTAAAAATTTAGTAAATAATGTTTGTCTGTTCTATTAAAATTTCCGTATCTCTATAATGAGTTTGTATTATGAGTTGTCTTCTCAATTCAGAGGGCCCCATGCCTGTCCTTGCCTAGGATCCCAAGTTTCCTAAATCCGCCCCTGCTTCGATTCTCTCCTCCAGGTGTCCTCTGTTGTTCCCAGAATGACCTCCCGTCACAGGATAGTGTATTGCGCTAAACTCACGCCCACTGATGGGAAAACGGATCGAAATGTGAATGAAAAGCGGGGGGGGATTTTGAACGTATTCTTAATGTTTTAATCTTTCTTATAGATGGATGCCTTAACATTGATGGTTTTGGTGGACAGATGAATTCAAATTGAAAGGATTTAACTTGTAAGGAGACACGTTTCAGTCAGTGTGTGATGAATAAATTCTCTGCTCAGTGGAGCCAATTCCCATTTTGCTATCAGCACCATTCTAGATCATTTCTGACACTATATGTTAAACTTAGAACCTGGAACCTGCCAGAGATTCTTTCCCCTCTTTATTTTCACATTTACTGTCAACACATTATTTCTCAAACTAAGCAGGGGAGGGAGATCTCGGCAACCTAGAAGCTGGAACCTGCGGAAGATTCCCTCCCCTCCTTATTTGCTCCTTTGCCGTGATGCTGTTCAGAACACCTTAAGACGCTCCGCTGCTGTTCGCTGAGGTCGAAAATGAAATAGCATTTTTGCTCAGGCTACTCATAAGTTGAAAGGTTAATATTATTGCCATTTCTGTTAATATATAGTAGACATTTACACAATTAGTGATATAATGTCACAGGGATGGCCATTTAAGAAGGGGGATGATTTTTAAGATTTTTTTAAGAAGTGGAAAGCCATCCCCCCTCACCGCCCCTCATCTGGAGTACTGATTAAGAGCACATATTATTTTGGATGGAATCATGGGATTAAATTAAGACGCTGCAGCTGAGGAATCCGACAACTTTCTATCTGCATTTATAGAATAAAAATATTGATAGCAACTGTGGCTTTTTCAAATATCTAAATCCTAGATACTACACACTGAGACACAGACCCACCACCATCAGCATCCTGTCTGTTCAGTATCCTCACCGTCCTGCATGACCCGTTTAACCAGCTCGTTCAGTTCGTCCACAAACACCTTCTTCTCACAGCTCATCATCTTAGAGAAGCACTTCTTCAGAGCCCGGCTGGTCCGAAGCTCGTCTCCGACGCTGCTACGCAGTTCTTCTGCTGCCTCGCTGCCAACCAGAGCGTGAAACTCTGGAACAGCTGCAGAAGTGAAAACAATCACAAAGAAAATGGTAGAGATTCAGCAAAAGGGCAACAGCTGGGTCCCGACCAGGAGAGTCTTATTAGAAAAGATCATCCTTTTTCTTACCTTGAAGGAAGCCCAGGATCTCCTCCACTGGTCTGAAGCCGCAGAGTCCCTGGAAGCGCGTGAGAGCGATAGCCATCTCTGGTTTGTGGTTGTTGTCTGGATAGTGCTCTGGAAACTGTGCATGAAGAGAGGCGGCTAGCTCCTAAATGTTAAAGAAAAACAAGAAAAGGAAGAGGTTTAAAAAAAAAAAAGCATGTAGAGGTTCCCCTCAGTTCAGCAGGAGATCCAGGAGCATGTGGAAGGAAAGGTCCATGTGGTAAAAACCTGAACACGCCTCCGCTCCTTCGTAAAGGAAGACATACAGAGAAAGGTGACTTAAACAAGCTTTAAAAACAAGCAGAACATAGAATAAACAATCCTGGAAAGTTGCTGCTTTAAAGTGCACATCTCACTAAAGGTTGAAGAGCTTTATCAGTTCGGTGTTTACAATCTGTTAAAGGCTTTGAAAAGAAAAAGAAAACCAACTGAAACTGAAACAGTGAAACCTTAAAGAAATCTGTGATTTTCAGGAAAAAAAGTGAAAGACTGAGGGTAAGCTGATCATCATAAGGTTGGAAATATTCGATTCATTAGAAATATTCAGCATCCTCAGACTTTAAAGCTCAAACTTCATTCAGCTGTTTGTGCTATGATTTATCCAAACCCAGGCCTTTCTTCACTTCTTAAGTGAAGTTTAAAGGATTTGATTTAAGGCATCAGAGTAAAGGGGGCTGAATGCAGATGCCGTTTCACGGCGCAAACTCCTACGCAGGGGCGGATTTACCATTAGGCAAAACTAGGCTGTATGGTTAATATAGCTAGCACTTATTTGTGCACATAAATTAAGGTCTTTTATTTAAGTACCATTAGAACTCTGATAATATTAAGTGTGTCTCAGCCCCCCCCCCTTCAGTGTCCACCATATTGGATCAGTCCATTTGCTGCACATGTTCAGAAAGGTCCAAACAGACAGCAGCAAACCATTTGAAAACAAACCATGCAAAGAGCAGTGTTGCCAACTTAGCGCTTTAGTCGCTATATTTAGCCACTTTTCAGACCCCTCTAGATCTTTGATAAAAAAAAAAAAAGCCAAGTGTAGTGACTTTTTTCTGCTACTGGAGACAACATCTAAAAGCAGAGAACTCTGCTCTCCAGAGCAAGTAGATTGGTAACCCCGCCTCCTGCTCTCCTCTATCTTGTCTGCTGTCATGATTCATGCAGCTATTATTTCATCCAAATGAAAAATGGAGAACAGATAAGCAGATCATGGCTTGTCTACAGTGAAAAGAAGGACTGGGTTATTTACTTTGGCCTTTTTGGTAACACAGGAAGGAGCAATCAGCTAAGTGAGCTTAGTGCTTGGAAAAAATCTTTCATTCCTTTAGAGACAGCATGAAAAGTCAGCTGAGTACAAAACATAGAGAGGAAAACAACAAGTAGAGTGGGACACAACAGAACAAATAATGGATGTCTATTCTATTAACATTTCTCCATCTGTAGAATGGGTCTGTTTGATGTGTTGTCTTCACAATTCAGAGGGCCCCCTTCCTGTCTTGGCCTAGGGCCCCAGATTTCCTAAATCCGCCCCTGCTCCTATGCTGAAACGAGTTGGCCTCAGCATTTGCTTCTTTCTGCTTCTGTGCTTCTGCACCTGAAGGTCACAGAGAATCGGGCCTGATTTACCAAATTGGCAAATATTGTCCCGATTTAGTCGCCTGTGTCAGAGTCAGACACCGCTTCTATCTACTCTTATTAACAGACGGGCTCCTACTAAGCACAGGCTGAGCAAACCTCACACATTGTCTCTCATAACAATCTTTTTTTTACATTTCTTTTTATTTTGAAGCTCTAGGAGCATCTCTATTTAACTTCCTGTTCTCCTGACTATGGATAAAGTCACAGTTTATCTATTATTTATGTCCAGGCCTGCACACCAGACTGTACAGGTGTCTGCAACATGTGGCTCTGTGGACTTTCCACCAAAAACAGAGAGATAATAAAGAAAGAAAGAATAAAAGCTGCAGGTTTTGAGCAAGGCTTTAATCATTTCTCATTAAATACCTGATCTGAAATCAGCATGACAATTATCCCAAACATACTGATGATTTAGCTTTAGTCGGGGTGCACCAATCACAGTTTTCCTTCTCATCACAGATTTTTAAAAAGCCTGACATGGTGATTCTAATTTTGACCAGTACTGGGGGGGGGGGTTTTGAAGAAGAAAACCTTTAATATTTCAGTCATATAAAAAAAAGTTGTTTTATCTCACATGGTCATGATCTGAAAATGTTTAAAGCATTTTCAGACCTTTGAGGAGGTAAATGACATCAGAGGATAAGATCAGTTCAACATCCAAGTACCCGATGGATGATCTCCCAAAAGTCTATTCTATTCAGTTTATTTCTATAGCGCCAATTCACAACACACGTCATCTCAGTTCACTTTCCAGTTCAACCAGATCATCCAGTCAGATTGATTCAAAGTTTTCTACCTAAGGAAAACCAGTTGATTGCATCGACTCCTTGACTCTTCAGCAATCCCTCACACTAAGCATCCGAGTCAGCTCACATGTCAGAGGATGGAAGAGAGCACATCCAGTTAGTCGCAGTCAGAGAAACAGGACTACACTGAAAAACAGGACGAGCTCAAACATCTAAAGGAAGAAAATCAAGGCCAATCGACTTTTTTTTTTATAATCTATTTTTTCTTTTCATTCGGTTTAAAACAATTTCTTTAGTTACAGCATTGAACACACACATTAAATGTAATCCCTGTCTGGGGAGTCTGGGGATTAATCCTGCCTGGGCTACTTAATGTGTACCTTGCAGGACCCTTTTTTTTTTTTTTTTTTTCTTTTTAAGCGAAAATTAATTTAATCTTTTTTATAAAAAAAAGAAAAAAGAAAAGGTGATTCTTTCAAAAATAAAGAATGTTCTAGTGTATTAATTGATGATGACGTCCTTTATCCAGGAACCCATAGAACATTTGCGGCTCTAAAAACCGTTTATTTCGCTGGACTGCGGGTAGAAAATGTCTCAAAGGTTGCAGACTCCTGCACTAGCATGTTTCTTTATGTTTCTATGTCTCTTTACCTTGCCAATCAGAGATTTTACTTTGTATTTTCCCCAACGCAGATGCTTTTCTCTTTTACTGTGCAGCTCTTGACATTTCTGCAAATTGCGGCATAGCTCAGACAAAAACAGACCAGCAATTTATTTAAGTCTGAGCAACATTTTCGACTAACTACGGTGACCTGATACGATCGGGTTTTTCCATCGGATCCAACGTTAACATCATGTCTGGTTTGTTCAGGCCTTCATCCTCTGGTACTTACATCATTAGCAGACATGGCCAAGGAAGACGGGGGTGCTGCAGCACCCCCTAGTGGCGAAAGGGGGATTATTTAAAAATGTATGTAGTAAAAATACTTTGCACATTTAATACATTTGTTCAAGGTATTTGGACTTTTTTATTTTACTATTACGTGTATTGGGATTTCAATTCAATTATTTTGGGGCCTTATTAACACAAGTTCACGGAAGTTACATTGTCATGGCAACGGCAAGCGAGCTGGTGGTGGTGGAGTAAAGAGGTACCCGCTCACAGCAGCAGACTAGTAAATTTACAGTCTAATGGCAGAAACAAGGAGGAAATATGGTAAAGAAATGAATTTTGCAGTGAAGAGACTGTCTGCCTGCCTGTGGTGGCAGATTAAATATTAATGCATTAGGTTTTGTTGCATTAATTAAATTATAGAAACACAATAAAGAAATCTTTATTTTGAGCATTTGGGGAAAAAATTAAATAAAGTACCCTTCGCTGCATCAGAGCGCTACCTGTGGACGGTTTTCTATGCTTATAACCAAACTAGCAGCAGTTCGGGAGTTTAGAGATGCAATCCATTTCTCAAATCTTACTTTGCTCTCCTCCAGTAATCCAGAAGTTCTGCAATCACACTTTTTCTCTCACTCCCAGCTTTGTGGTCGGCTGCATATATCGCATATATTCCCTGGAAAGGCCTTTCCTAATTACTCTTTTTATTATTTCACAACTTCTCATCCCAAAGCAAACATGCAGGCAATCTTTCCTGACTGGTAATGAATCGCTCCATTCTACTTTGAATCCTCTGTTCTCATCAGCTATCTTCCTTTTTTCCTCTTTGGGATCCATGGCCTGAGACATACCCACCGCTTTGTTTACAGCAGCCACCTGCCTGGCACTGCGCCGCGCTGAAACCTGCTGCAGGATATGATGCTAATCTTTATTGAAAGAAATTTTAAGGTTTATTGTTTAAATCTATTTATTATACATTTGAAAATATAATGAATGTTTGTTTGACTTCCTGTACACCATATTAAAACAAACAAAAATCCATCTTTTTCCATTTTCAAACATTTTTGAAGTTCCAAGGAGCCGCACTGGGTCCACTAAAGAGCTCCGGGTTGCTGCCCTACTGTGATAATAAAGCTCTGATTCCATCCCAGTTTACAGAGAGCTTCATTTTTCCATCAGAGACTTTACAAGTCAGCTGACAGAAACCTTAGGAAGTGCTGACTGTGCTGGACGATGTTTGCTGAACCACTGAATGATATCGGCTCTGTTCAAACACGGGTTGGCCTGACACAGCTGGATAAAGACCATGGAACCGAGTTCAGCCTGACATTTGTGGCTGTGCTCTCACCTTGTTGGGGTGGGCCTGTATGGACAGAGCCGTGTTGACCGACAGGACTTTGAAGAGGAACGGCAGCTGACCCTGAAAGGCCTCTTTCACCTTGGAGCCCAGGCAGGCCGGGTAGTGAGCGATCCACTGGCCCAGGGTGGTCTGGGCGATCCGGTTGTCCTTAATCTGAGCGTCGCCTTTGGGGTGGGCCCCCATCCACAGCTGCAGCAAACATTGACAGCTTTTAAAATGGTGCTTTCAAGGTTAATTTTAGATTTTTTTTTAAAGCCTTGTGTGGGAATCTATCAGCAGGAACAGGGGAAGCTGGGAGAGGCAAAATAAATGACAGTCCCTGCAGAGGAACCAGATATAATTAAGACTGGAGCAAGCTGACTAATGCTAAATCTGCTGCAGAGCTTGAAAGCTGAATTTCACAGATGCTCTACCTCCAGTCAGAGCTTGGGGTTTATTTAACAACCTGCAGACTCTGGATGCTGCCAGAGACAAACACTGGGAGATCAGCAGCACAGACCAGCTGAATCTAAACCCACACCCCAATGCTTGAAAGCATCCCTCCCTTTTTCTCATAATTCATTAGTTTTAAGTACAATTGTTCTTTTTATAACAGATTCAACCTTTTAAAAATCTTCAAGTGGAATTTTTACAGATTTCTTATTTTTCATTATTTATTAAGCGATTTAGATCTTGCATTTTCTTCCTTCTGGGGGGCGGGGTTTCCTCCTAGTGAGAAGCAAATAAGCATTTCTATTGGTCTGTATGGACGTTAGCAACAACATTTTTATTTAGTGTTTGTGTTTAGCTTAAAGTGAAAAGAATCTGATCTGTGAAACACATTTAAAAAAATGCAATTCATAAAACTCAATCTAAACAAATAACATTTGAAAAAGATTTTTTTAAATATTAATGTAAATCAGCACATTTGTCTGGCCAGATCTCCTTTTATGAGTAGATAAAGGATCACATTTCCTCCTAGGATACTAAAACTAAAACTTATTCAGTCCAAATTTGCTTGACTTCTAGTCAAGATGTGGATCTATAAAGTCTGACAGGTTATCCAGAGTTTCAAATGGGCTTTCATTTAGTTTTTTTAGTGTTTATTTTGGAAAATAATTTTGTGACGCTAAATATTTTCCATTTTTTTCTTTGTTTAATCACCTATAAAATCAGACATGGTAACATTTAAAATAGTGTTTCCATCTGAAAAATATTCCTCAATGCCTTTCTGTCATACTAAATGTATGGTTCGGTAGCTTTACTTGCTTTAATTCACATATGTGATTTCAGGTGGAATTTGCTCTTAACACCCTTTAGGGTTAAATCTGACAACACAACAAACTTGCTCCTCAAAACCTTTTTTAATTAAGAAGTTTTTCAACATCTTATTTCTGGACGTTTACATCCTTTTTTGCAACAATAATGGCACTAAATTCCCTCCATACTCTCAAAGCCACTTCCAGGACAACCAGAGAGCAGAATGTCTAATCCGTTTAGACCATAACATCCATTTTAATTCCTGCCTTTAGGAGGTCAGTGGTCTGCTTTTATTTTAGAAGCAAACATATCAAATAAAATGAGGATAACGGCTCCTACACAACAGCTACTCTGTTAAATCCACAGACAGACATGAAACCTAACCTTGATGGGAACAATGTGATCTGTAGAACGTGGAAATGTCACCATGTGAACTAATGACCTTGATAACTCGCCCCACAGAGCAGCAGCTGCTAAATAAAGAACTCTAAAAGGCGACGGGCAGCTGATCCACAGCACAGTGCCTTCCTCACATTACAATCAAAACAACTTGGTTTAATATCTGCTATCATTTTATCAACATTAAATGTTTCTTCTTAGAAGAGAGCGTACCTCTGCATAGGGTTTATCCACCTCTATGACTGCGAGCGGGTCTCCACCAACCACCAGCTTGGCCACCTCACTGTCCAGCCCCATCTTTCCCCATGCGTAGTTCTGCACTGCACAGGTCAAGGGAAACACTGAGGAGGGAATAAAGACAAATATCATAATTAAAATATCTAATATTCACTGGATCCACCTCAGATGAACAAGTATTTCGTTCACCAGCGTCATCTCAAAATGATTTGCTATCCTTTTTATTATCCGCTGTAGACCAAAATCAGCCCTAAAGGACTGCTCGGATGAAATGGTAGGATGTCCCATTTCTCGACAGGGTAATAAATCTCACTGCGGTTGGTCAGGATATGAATATGACGGAAAGTTAGGAAACTCTTGTTCTAATAAGCATTTTACTTTCATTTATTTCCCACACTTTATTTGACTATAATAGTTTCATTAATACACCTCCCTTTTCAACATGGTTCCATAATCCCTGTTTTCTTATTTTTTATTATCTAATTAGTATTAATTCATCCATCCATCCAATTTCTGTCACAGTTATCCCATGTGGGTCATGAGGGGTGCTGGTGTCCATCTCCAGCCGTCTACAGGTGAGAGGCGAGGTCCACCCTGGACAGGTCGCCAGTCTATCGCAGGGCAACACAGAGACAAACAACCATTCACGCACACACCTAAGGAGAATTTAGAGAAGCCAGAGTACCCGGAGAGAACCCACGCATGCACAGGGAGAACATGTAAACTCCATGCAGAAAGACCCGGGGTGGGAATCAAACCCAGAACCTTCTTGCTGCAAGGCAGCAGTGCTACCCACTGCTCCACTAAGCAGCCTAGTGTTAATTCTATTCAGTTTATTTCTATAGCACAACACATGTCATCTCAAGGCAATTTACAGAAACAATTCAACCAGATCATCCGGTCGAATGAGTCAGTGTTTGTTATCTAAGGAAAACCAGTTGATTGCATCGACTCCTTGACACAAAGGCAATCCCTCACACTATGCATGCTTGTAGCAACAGTGGAGAGGAAAAACTCCCTTTTAACAGGAAGAAACCTCCAGCAGAACCAGGCTCAGTGTGAGTGGCCATCTGCTGAGGCTGACTGGGGTTCAAGGAGACAGAAGCAGACAAAAAGCAGCTGTTAAAAGCGGAAAAGCAGGAAACACACAGCCAGGCAGACGAGCTCCGAGCCAGCTCCCATGTCAGAGGATGAAGAGAGCACATCCAGTTAGTCACAGTCAGAGAAACAGGACTGCACTGAAAAACAGGCCAAGCTCCAACATCTAGAAACAAAGGTGTTGATGGCAGCAGCACAGCTGATATTTTTCTGCAGGATGGAGGAACACTCCGCTGTTACTCTCTGTTAGGTTTATAAAACCATTGTTAAAAAAAAAAAAAAGTTCTCTCCACTGCATTTCTTTTATTGACCTGCTAAGCAGACCTCGTTTCACCAGGTTTCTAACAACAAAAAGTTGCCTTATTGTATATTTTAGCAGCGTGGATGTTCTGATTGGGTGAAGCTCTGGGACTGATTTAGCTGGTGATACAAAAATCGACACAACATCGATAAATGCAGGATCTCTCTGCACAGCCAACACTTTCAGCCGCTTCTTCTTCTCCGCTTTCAGCTTAATGTTCTTTAACACCTGCTTCGCAATCTGAAACCTTCAAATATCTTCATTCTTTGCTCTAACAGCGACGTGCCTCTAGCTCCTCGGCTGCTTTGATTAAACCAAAAAACGCAGACCGACAATAAACGGTGACTGAAACAACCCGCTTCACCTTCCCGTGGAGTCAAACTGCTGATCAAAACAGCTTCTTCCATTTGAATCAATGAAAGTGATAATTTAAAGCAGCTTTGAATGAAGAAAATCCACCTCACCTCTTACTTCCTCCATGACTGCGCCGAGGACCGTGCGTAACGCGCTGACGTCACCGCTCAGTGAACGGCTCGTGTCAGGCCCTGTAGCAGGGGAACCAATCAAAAACCTTCAACCAGTAAAGGTCCGGAGACATTTTTAATTAGAATCTGATACTTTATACTGAACTTAATACTGAATAGAATGAGGTTTTTATTACGAAGCGTAGTACGGAGCCCCCTAGGGGACATGGGGAATTTTTTTTCTTTTGCGTTCCCTCGCAATACTTTTGCGTTCCCTCGCAATACTTTTGCGTTACCTCGCAATACTTTTGCGTTCCCTCGCAAAAACTTTTGCGTTCCCTCGCAAAACCTTTTGCGTTACCTCGCAATAGGGCTTGGTCGTCGTGACCATGTTGACGGCGCACTTTACGGCTTCCTTAGACTATTGCCTGTGTTCTCCCTCTCAGCCGTGTTTTATTTCGTTTAATTTCACCGTAACTTGATTTCAACCATGGTAAACCGTTGCTGTATTGTGGGCTGTAACAGCGCATCACATGATCGCCGAGGGAAAAACCTACAAAATGGGATAACTTTCCACCGCTGTCCTGCCTGGAGGCGCAAACACGGAGACCAAGTTTCACAGATAACAAAGAGTCGTCGGCTAGCTTGGATCGCGGCTGTAAGACGAGAGAACAGAACTTTCCACAGTATCCTGATGTCAATGCGAGTGTGTTCCCTGCATTTTCATTCTGGTAAGTTAAAGATGCACGGTTTTATTTTATAGCCTACAGTGTTTCCTTCCTTCATCCGTGGCACCACATACAAGCATGAACGCGCGCCCAGAGACTGTTGATATAGCATTTTCATCCTCGTTGGTTGATATAGCATTTTATCCTCTTTGGTAGAACACACTGCCAGTTCCTACAAGGACAGGGACATCCCTCTCCATTTTCAAAAAAAACCCTGAGGTTGACAGCTGTCATAGCACCACTTATAAATTTTGCTGATCCTAGCGCTTACCAGCCGTCTTGTAATGTAATGTAATCATATAATACAATTTAATAATGTGTATATTGAGGATCATTGATAACATTATGGTTCTATATGTGTTCAACACTGCTGCTGTGGATAATAATTTTAAATTGTGTCACCAGGAAAACCAGCAAATGAAATGTACACCTCGCATCCGGATTGGGCACCATCACTACACTTGGGCCACACTGAGATAAAGGCCACACAGACTGCACGCTATGAGAGACAGGAAAAGAGAAAACGGCAAAGGACTGACAGTACACCTGCGAGGATGAGACAGCTATTGATGACCTTGTTCCACCCGGTAAGCCTTACAGAGCCAGAAGATTCAACACCGTATGTTGCTTTTGTGGCTTTTTCAGCTGCATGATGCACATTTAGCTAAAAGATGTCCTTATTTTATCCATAGTGGAGACACCAGCACCAGCTGAGGATGGAGCTGAGCAGACACCGCTGACAGAATGTGACTTCTGTCAGCGCCGGCGTGCTGAAATCAACCGGCTGCTGGAGGAGAACAGGACCCTGAAACGTGAGCTTGGCCAGAGAAAAATGGATGAAGATTTCCTGAAGGAAGACACCGTCAAAGTGAAATACTACACTGGACTTCCACACCTTAAAGTCAACCACTTTATTCTGGTGTTTATGAATTACTGTATTAAAGAAAAGATTGATGCTCAATATGGAATTGACAATTTCTTTGTATCAACAATACACTCTAAGCAAACATTTAACAAGTGGGTTGTTTTTTAGCCATAGGTGTGTTTTGCATCCATACCCAAAAGCAAGAGGTCTCAAACGATCAGATCCTTTTCAGTGTTTATTTGCAAGTAGTGAAACTTGAGAACACAGTGCAGCGCAGAACAGAGCAGTGCAGTTTGAATGCTTGTAGGTAAATGGTTACAAATAAAAAATGGACGCGATGAAAATGCAGTGCAATTACTTACAATAACAGTATGTATTTATACAAAATGTTCAATCCTATTAATAAGTCGGTCTTAATGAAACATCAATGGAGAAATGGAAAGTGGAGATATTGCAAATTATTATTATACAAATTGTAGTTATAGTAAACATTAACAGTTAAACACTGTTGGTGCAAATTCTTATATAAGTATTTATAATAATATGCATTACTTAAATTGTATAAATAAAGGCTGCGATGCAATATGTCATGATATACAATAATATAATCTATAATTGTATAATATAACAACGTGCAATAATATGCAAATATAACAATACAATGTAATAATACAAAATACTATGCTTTTTATAAAAAATGTCTTTGTATAAAAAAATTCCAAAGTAATAAAAAATACGTATTTATGAAACATCAATTACAAACATAAAAATTGGAGGTAGATCAAATTAAGTAATAACAGATATCAATAACATTTGAAGTAGTGCAAATTATTACCGGTACTATAGTACACATTAAAAAACAATGTTAGTGCAATGTCTTATATAATTACTTTTAACAATATGCATTTCTTAAATTGTATAAATAAAGGCTGCGATGCAATATGTCATGATATACAGTAATATAATCTATAATTGTATTGTAATATAACGACGTGCAATAATATGCAGCTGCAATGTCTTTCACTGTCTCACAGTGCTGGAGAAGGACAGCTGGTGGAGCATTTTCCAACTTTGGGTCGCGCAGACGGTCTTGCAGGGGTTTTGGGATCACAGCTGGCTGGACAGGAGCAGCATAGTTGTGAAAGTAGGGCTTCACTGTGGACATACAAACTGACCTATGGTTCTGAAGAACAGGGAACATTGACGATAAGTCGTCCAATGTGGCTTGGGCAGTGCGTCTGCTGGCCCGTGTCCGTAGGCCAGGCATGGGAATGTTGTCATCGATGACTCTGTCCAGAGCAATCCTCTGCACTTTGGATGAAGTGAAGTCCATCTTGTGGGCGACTTCACCGCTGACTTTGTTGATACCTGCTGGTATTTTCCAATAAGCTGGCACATCTGTCACAGTCTTTTTCCCACGGATGCGGACTGCTGCCTCAATCTTAAACAGCAGAGCCCCAACATGTGTACATGCCTCTGCAATTCCAGCCATGCATGTACAGTGTGCACAGCAAACCTGCCCATCGTCAGCAATGATGACCCATGGCTTCAGGGGAGTCTCATTAATGCGCTGAGAGTGCAAGACCTGAGGAGAAAAAAAATAGACATAAATTATGCAGGTAAGGACACCATTATATTTCATTCTATGCTGGAAAGCAAACGTTAACCTCAACCCCTCATGCATGTGTATACATATCATATAAATCACAGTTATACAACAGTAAAGTATAACAACCACGCTGTTATATTGTTATATCACTTAAAAGAAAAAGAAATGAAATGAGCACAGGACATTTAAACCTGCATAATACCTCTGACTGAATGATTTAAGCTCAAAGTTACCCGTTACAGTGTTTTATGAGGTCAGATTTAATAACCCGCAGTCAATACTGCACTCATTTTTCTAAATAGTTCACTTTGAAAGACTCTGATTCAAACTAGGAGTTAACTTGAATGGCCACAGCACTGCACTATTGTTTATTTTTTTATATTTTGCGGATCTTTGACTATTTAATCTATTCCTTAAAATTTTATTAATAACAATGTTCAATAAATGATTTTCAACAAAATACAGATGTAACACCTATCCAGTTTCTGAATGATGGTAAAAAAATCTTGTTTCTACCAGCAGCTGGGGGAGACTAGATTAGAAGATGGTTCAGAAAACCTGTTAGGACACATTTTTTTTCTAACACTAAGTATCAAACAAATGCTGATTTCTATTTCAGCAAATTATTCTTAAATTTTTTTTTAATATTTTGAATAATGTTTTGATGAAGATTTGAGATTCCTTTCACTGAATGAATGGTCACAAAGCTAGTGTTAAGCTTGAAGTCTCTGGCCAAGCTCACGTTTCAGGGTCCTGTTCTCCTCCAGCAGCCGGTTGATTTCAGCACGCCGGCGCTGACAGAAGTCACATTCTGTCAGCGGTGTCTGCTCAGCTCCATCCTCAGCTGGTGCTGGTGTCTCCACTATGGATAAAATAAGGACATCTTTTAGCTAAATGTGCATCATGCAGCTGAAAAAGCCACAAAAGCAACATACGGTGTTGAATCTGCTGGCTCTGTAAGGCTTACCGGGTGGAACAAGGTCATCAATAGCTGTCTCATCCTCGCAGGTGTACTGTCAGTCCTTTGCCGTTTTCTCTTTTCCTGTCTCTCATAGCGTGCAGTCTGTGTGGCCTTTATCTCAGTGTGGCCCAAGTGTAGTGATGGTGCCCAATCCGGATGCGAGGTGTACATTTCATTTGCTGGTTTTCCTGGTGACACAATTTAAAATTATTATCCACAGCAGCAGTGTTGAAAACAAATAGAACCATAATGTTATCAATGATCCTCAATATACACATTATTAAATTGTATTATATGATTACATTACATTACAAGACGGCTGGTAAGCGCTAGGATCAGCAAAATTTATAAGTGGTGCTATGACAGCTGTCAACCTCAGGGTTTTTTTTTGAAAATGGAGAGGGATGTCCCTGTCCTTGTAGGAACTGGCAGTGTGTTCTACCAAAGAGGATAAAATGCTATATCAACCAACGAGGATGAAAATGCTATATCAACAGTCTCTGGGCGCGCGTTCATGCTTGTATGTGGTGCCACGGATGAAGGAAGGAAACACTGTAGGCTATAAAATAAAACCGTGCATCTTTAACTTACCAGAATGAAAATGCAGGGAACACACTCGCATTGACATCAGGATACTGTGGAAAGTTCTGTTCTGTCGTCTTACAGCCGCGATCCAAGCTAGCCGACGACTCTTTGTTATCTGTGAAACTTGGTCTCCGTGTTTGCGCCTCCAGGCAGAACAGCGGTGGAAAGTTATCCCATTTTGTAGGTTTTTCCCTCGGCGATCATGTGATGCGCTGTTACAGCCCACAATACAGCAACGGTTTACCATGGTTGAAATCAAGTTACGGTGAAATTAAACGAAATAAAACACGGCTGAGAGGGAGAACACAGGCAATAGTCTAAGGAAGCCGTAAAGTGCGCCGTCAACATGGTCACGACGACCAAGCCCTATTGCGAGGTAACGCAAAAGGTTTTGCGAGGGAACGCAAAAGTTTTTGCGAGGGAACGCAAAAGTATTGCGAGGTAACGCAAAAGTATTGCGAGGGAACGCAAAAGTATTGCGAGGGAACGCAAAAGAAAAAAAATTCCCCATGTCCCCTAGGGGGCTCCGTACGAAGAAGTATTAGGGCCAGGCTAGAGTTGTTGTTTTTCTTCTATTCAGACATCCCAAGTCCCAAAAAATAATTTAATAATATTAATAATAATAATAATAATAAAAAAATAATATTGGACAATGCAGAACACAGATTTACCTTCACAAAGCCTCAGAAGGGCAAGATTTATGTACAAAATGTAAAGCTGTTCATGAAATTATGTTTTGGTTTTATAATGTTTTTGTTGTTGGCATTCATATAAATATAACGGTGTGATAACTTGGTATACGTTTGACTGGGTTTTGTTATACGTCTATTTTGAATTTATAGCCCCCCTGGAGAAATCTCCAACAGCCGCCGCTGGGTGAAACGCTTCAGTTTACTGTTAAAAAATGAACATCCAGCTCTCCCATCTTTCTGGCAATGATATACACGCCATGATAGGATCATCACCATCATATGATGGGCCCAAATAGAAATGATAAGCACAGACATGTATGTAGAGGTGTTTTTTTTTTTGTTTTTCCTTTTACAGTTGCAAGTTTCCAGTTTTCGAGTATTGAATTAAGATAAATTGTGCCTTCATCTGTAGTGGATTAGAGATATACAGTTAAGTTCACAAGTGGGCCAATTCAATTCAGTTTGGCTCAGCTAGATATTTCATGATGCAGAAAATAACAATCTTATTGTGCAATTTATTTATGACGCTTTATAATAATAAATAAGTGCCATAAAATATTTGCTTGTGTGCTTGCATTGATTATCTGTGCCTGTGCTTTTTTTAAATAAATAATTGCCCAAAAATGTCTTTGCACGCGTGCTTTGCGCGCTCGCATTTTATTTGGTGCCCTATTGTGCCCCTGTATAGTATTGGGTCAGCTGACGCCCCTGGCTGCAACGTGCCTCATACATGAACTCCATCATTCTTCACCCTCACTAGACATGGATACACTTTAGTATATTCTGCTGTAAAATGAGGTGACTGTAAGAGTAAACTGAAACTAATTGGCTTATTTTTCTGACTGATCCAATCAGCGCTTTGACAACCAGTCTCCTGGATTGGACAGACAGGTTTCATAAGCAACCTCCTCCCCTCACCCACTCTCTTATTGTGTCTGCGCAATCGCAGTAGTTCTAATCCACAAATGGTACACAAATTACTGTGCTGCCTGCCCGCTCTCACTCGCATAAAAAAAAAAACACCTTGCAAGGTCTAAAATCCGGGATGATTTATCCGACTCGCAGGTATCCTTGAACAACTATCGATATCAGGGAGACTCCCGGAACTTTCGGGAGACTTGGGATGTCTGTCTATTTCCAGAATAAAGTCATAACATTACGAGAATAAATTTGTTCAATTCAATTCAGTTTATTTATATAGCGCCAAATCACAACATATGTCATCTCAAGGCACTTTATAGTTCAACCAGATCATACAGTCAAATTGATACAAAGTTTTCTATCTAAGGAAAACCAGTTGATTGCATTGACTCATTGACTCAAATACAATCCCTCACACTAAGCATGCTTGTAGCGACAGTGGAGAGGAAAAACTCCCTTTGAACAGGAAGAAACCTCCAGCAGAACCAGGCTCAGTGTGAGCGGCCATCTGCTGAGGCCCACTGGGGTTCAAGGAGACAGAAGCAGAGATACAAAAAGCAGCTGTAAAAGGCGGCGCCGTCCAGGAAACACACAGCCAGGCAGACGAGCTCTGAGCCAGCTCCCATGCCAGAGAACGAAGAGAGCACATCCAGCCAGTCACAGTCAGAGAAACAGGACTACACTGGAAAACAGGCCGATCTCCAGCATCTATAAACAAAGGTGTGGATGGAAGCAGCACAGTGGATGTTTCTCTCCAGGATGGAGTCACAGCCAAACAGGAACAGACCAGATGAAGCTACTATGAGGAAAAGCAGAGAGGGCAGAACATTAGAGATTGAACTAACAGATTCTGCAGAATAGGAGAACAGAGAGAGAATGAAGCAGAATGATGAAATAGGGTCCCTATGTCCTCCAGCGGTCTAAGCCTATAGCAGCATAACTATAGAGATAGCTCAGGATAACCTGAGCCACTCTAACTATAGCTTTAACAAAAAGGAAAGTTTTAAGCCTAGCCTTAAAAGTAGACAGGGTGTCTGCCTCGCGGACTAAAACTGGTAGTTGGTTCCACAGGAGAGGAGCCTGATAACTAAAAGATCTGCCTCCCATTCTACTTTTAGAAATTCTAGGAACCACTAGTAAACCTGCAGATTGAGAGCGAAGTGCTCTGTTAGGAACATAAGGAACAATCAGATCTCTGATATAAGATGGAGCTTGGCCATTTAAGGCTTTATATGTGAGAAGGAGGATTTTAAATTCTATTCTGGATTTAACAGGAAGCCAATGAAGAGAAGCCAGGATAGGAGAGATATGATCTCTCTTTTTAATTTCCATCAGAACTCTGGCTGCAGCATTTTGGATCAGCTGAAGGCTTTTAACTACAGTTTGTGGACTTCCTGATAGTAAAGAATTACAATAGTCCAGCCTTGAAGTAACAAATGCATGGACTAGTTTCTCAGCATCACCTCTGGACAGGAGATTTCTAATTTTTGCAATATTCCTCAGATGAAAGAAGGAAATTCTAGAAACCTCTTTGATATGGGATTTAAATGACAGGTCCTGATCAAAAATAACACCAAGATTTTTTACTTTATTATCTGAAATCAGTTTAATCCCATCCAAATGAATTGACTGACTAATCAGCTTATTTTTCAAAGACTCTGGTCCAAAGATTATAACTTGTGTTTTTTTGTCAGCATTCAGAAGGAGAAAGTTAAGAGTCATCCAAGTCTTTATATATGGAAGAGAAATGCAGGTTTGTAATATGGAACAGGAAACCGTATCTCATTTATTCCATCACTGTACCCACTCTACCTATATCTTACAATGGACTCTTAACAATATATAATGTGTAAACTCAAAACATACGTTGTAATTGACTGTAAGAGTGTATTACTGCATTTAGCCGCATGGAAAGACTATTGTTACTTTTATCACAAATCTACTCACTACTTTATCTACTTTACTTAATCTACTTTACACATATGTAAATATTCCAAAACGAGCCCCAACTTCAGATGTTTCTTGCATGAATTCAAAGAGTACACGAAATCACTTACTTTAATTGATTTGAAACAGAGAAATACGTCTATCAATATTTTTGAGAGATTTTCTATAGAATATGTATTTGGTTCTTTGTATGTATTTGTTTTAAAGCACCTGTCTATTATTATTATTATGCATAATTGTTTGTTTTTAAGATCTGTATATTTGCTTGTTAGCAAAATATTTCAATAAAATCCCTGTAGTTTAGTAAGAAATAACAATTTAATTACTTACTTTTTGATGTTTTTTGAAGCGTATGGTGATCTGACCTTAAGATAGTTTTTTTGTACATGACTAAAGGGATACACGCCTGTTTAGGTGGTTTAGTGTAATTTTCGTATGAAATTAAGAGGATCAATTCAAATATGTTGTCTTGCGCTCACCGGTTCATTTATTTATAAACAATTTGTCTCCCTAATTTTTGTTAAACTCCATCCTTAATCTCATACTAAGATTTTTGTTGTTTGAATATTTCTTATTAATTTACACAAAGGCCCTTTTTGCCACTCTGCTATAAAATACTAGGAAAGAAATTTGTAATATTAGGATAATTTAAGTGGTAAGAGTGACTGTTGCTGCCTCTTTGAAAACGTCTTAATGGAATGGAATAGAATAGAATAGAATAGAATAGAATAGAATAGAATAGAATAGAATAGAATAGAATAGAAATTCCCTTTATTATCCCACACTGGGGAAATTCTGGTGTTTACAGCGGCAAAAAAGTTTTAGAAAAAAATGGTCACACAAATATGGACCTTAGAAAAATGTATAAGAATGACATAACAGTGAAGAGTTAAAAGATAAACAACAACTGTACTGTAAAGTGTTTTAACAACATAAAACTGCACCTGCAGAATGAATATCCAATATGCAGCTATGGACATTTTTACAGTAATGAATATTTGAAAATAGCAACAACATCAGAGATGTGAAAAAATGACAGCAGCATGTTATTTAACCTACTAAGGTAGAAACTGTGCAAAGTCAGCATGAATGGAACAACCTGTCGAGGTTGTTGGGAACAGTGGTGGTTCTAGAGTGTTCCTGCTCTAGAACCACCAGTGCAGCAGTCTGTCACTGAAGGAGCTGTCCAGTTCAGCACCAGCTTCATGCATGGGGGGGGGGACATTATCCAACAGAGATGATCATTTAGTTAGGATGCTTTTTTTTCTCCACTCCCTGAGTCAAGAGAGCATCCAATCACAGAGCTGGCCTTCCTGATCAGCTGATCCAGCTGCTTTCTTTCAGGAACAGACAAGCCACTGCTCCAGCAGACAGCTCCATAGAAGATGGCTGATGCCACAACAGAGACAGACATAGAAGGTCTTTAGCACCGCCCCCTGCAGTCCAAAAGACCTCAGTCTCCTCGGCAGGAAGAGTCTGTTCTTACCTTTAACTTAAACATTGTTTTCATGGGTGGATTCTGTATAACTAAACATTTGTATTTGTTTTATAGTTAAATAAACACCAGAGTGCATTATTCTGTAGTTAGACTTAAATCAGATGCTTAGACCACACAATCACGGTAATATGCACCCTTTTTGCACCATCTATTAATAGACATGATTAAATGCACTAATGTATGTGAGGTGACACTCAAATTAAAATGTCAAACTAACGTAAGGAAACCATATAGATATGATTTTTGTCCCCACTCAATGTTCTTCAAACAGATAATAGGCAACATTGTTTGTCTTTATTAACGTTTACTTAAATGTGTCATCATCAGTTTAAACTTTTTCAACTGATTGTCCTACTCAGTGCGCTAGAGTTGGGTTTACTTTAGCTGGCTGTCTATTACCGGATCTAAAAATATGTAAAAGAAAAAAAAAAAAAACTTCTGAAACTACTAAAAAAATACTACTGTAGCCTCCCCGGTTGAAAAGATGGTTCACAATCCTTTTGTTATTGAACAACCTTGCTTGTGAACACACCATAAGAGCTACAAAACACGCAGATTGAATCCCCCATTAGTAACTCAGCCAGTATTTAACCTTTTTTACATAATCAATTTACCATGAATCATTTTTAACCTTAAATTGTTTCAATCTTTTAATCTTGACAATCCTTTCGACAGTGACTAATCCACGTTTAGTGCTATCAGGATCTTTTACCAAATATTTTTATTAAACCCATTAGTATAGTATTTTATAATGCCTTGTACCAAAAAATGAAATAAAATGTATAATAATGTAACCATCTGTGACTTCACATAGCAGATAATGTTGCGTACTATTCATAAACATTTGTATTGCTGAATAAGCGTCCCAAACAGAGACTATTAGCACCTACTAGTGGACAAAAATCTAACTACAACAAAACATAACAGAAAAATGTAAGCAGAAATATTTCTAAATATGCATAAAAAAGAAAAGAAAACGTTGATACGAACCTTGTTCCCTCATCAACCAGGTGCTAAGGACCTTTTGCAGCTTGAAATTACTCCGTAATAATATGCGTCCCCCCCCCCCCCTTTTTTAGAGCCTTTCTCTGGGCCTTTCACAATAAAAGCATGAGCTGTATTACTGCTGGAGCAAAATTCCAAACACATTCGTAAGGACATTTACAACTACTACTACTATTCTAATAATAAAAATAAGCCCAGCTGTCTATTCTGCATAAAAACAAATACAGATCTGTAATATAGATCTATTTGTAATTCTTAACAAACTGTTAGTTGGGGAAAAAATGGTCCTGTATATATATATATATATATATATATATATATATATATATATATATATATATATATATATATATATATATATATATATATATATATATATATATATATATATATAAAACAAAACAATAAAAACAATTGAAGCTCCGTGTTTTATGATTTTCATTTTTTATTTTGGGTATATTCCAGTTTAAGGCGGCGCACTTTGAGTAATAACGCTGCTACGTCATTTTTCTGAAATCCCAGTGTGCATGCGCCCTCGACTTCATTCGAGGAAGTGGTGGGGCAAGTAGATTCTAAAGCGACAGAGTTTGTTGTTGACTTCTTTCCAGAGGATAAACACCTCACCTTTCTCACAAAATGTCGGATTTTGACAACAACCCGTTCGCAGAGCCCAGCAGCATTAACCCGTTCAATGTAAGTGAGCATTTTAATGACTTGTCGTTGTCTGATGAAGCGCTGTCGGGAGTGGGTGCAGAGAGCTTTTTCGTCAGAAGGCTGCCAGCACGCCAGGAAACGCGCTGGGTGGGTGTGTGGGAGGGATCTGGAAAGCTATTGGCTAACAGTAGATTATTGACAGCCTTTAAGCAAATCAACACTCTCCGTTTCCAGAGAAGGCAGTCCGCCCTCAAAGTTGACTTTCAGGAAGTTAATCAGCAGCCAACCCAGAATGTCAGGCTATTTTAAAATTCCACCATCACTTATAAGTTTCAGACTAGATTCAACTAATGTTTTTAATCTTTAACTCGACTCAGAGCAACTGTTTCCTTCTGTTTTAAATGTCTAATTTCAGCCAAACTGATGATGTTTACTTTCTGAAGCGCGTTTCTCTCTAACAGGATGTGACATTCAGGTTCATCCTTTACATAGAAAATAAATTTAACTCTTTCACTTTACTTTTCTCCATTATTATCCATTCAGCCGAAGTAATGTAAATAAATCTGCCAAGTCCTGCCTGTGCATGAGAGGAAATGAATAAATGTAATAAAGGCGTCTGTTACCATTATGACTCATTAGTAACAGTGTAAGGTTGATCTTGGAGTTTTATTGCATATTTCACATTAATGAGGCTCTTTTAAAGAATACTTGTTATTGAATATTAGAAGTACACAAAGTTTAGACTGTAAATATATTTACTTATTTCTGCATCCAGGCTTGATCCTGGCATCTTGTAATGTTTTTATATAAACTCTGAGGACATTTACATCACTGATTTTAAATTATCTGATGTTGCTTTTGATACATTTCTCTTCATATAATGTTCATGGGCTTTCTATGGTAAATGAGAATTTTATAAAAAATCTTTCATTTCACAAATTAAACTGGCCAGTTTCTTCCCCGTCCTGCAGTTGGGATTTCCTGTTCTAGAAACAAAAGATTCAAAAGTTAGGACTTATTCTAGATCAGCTTTGACTGATCATTAACGGGAAAACAGGAGGAAGGTTTTGTTTTTGCTCTGCGTTTACAAAAAAAATAAAGACTTGTATTATTATTGATATTTACTAGTGCTGTCAATCGATTAAATTTTTTTAATCGCGATTAATCGCATCAATGCCTGAGTTAACTCACGATTAATCGCATTTTAATCGCACATTTTTTTCCTGATTGAAAATCATTTAAATACTCTCGATGACATACAAAAAAATACATACAGGCTAGGTTTGTGCCAATGTTCTTTTTTTTTTATGAAAACAGGTCACAGATACTGATTGATGCCATAGAAACATATGGCAAGAAGATGGGGAGGCATGTAGCAAAAAATAACAAATATGTAGCCAAAAAAAAGGCCCTGAAAACAGGCTGATGTAAAAGACAGTCTTTACAGTTAATACAGTCTTTTGAACAAAGACAAGCATTTTACCCTACTGCTATAAAATGGGGTAGAGTTAACATTAGATGTCAATTAACCAAGATAATAATGAACAATTTTCAATCAATACATCAAAATCAATAGACCGACATCACTAGATGGAGGTAGTCTATGCTCTAGGAAGTTACTTTTCAGCCTCTTAACAAAAATGAGAACACACACACACCCACACACCCACACACGATACCGACCTGTGGCGTACACAGACAGCAAGAGTGCCGTAGCAGATTCCATTTCACCTCAGTAATCTGTTTTCTCAGCGTATTTCAGGTTGCTACTAGTTATCAGACACTCAACTTGTTTGTTAGTGGTGGGGCTTAAAGAAAAGGCACTAGCGCCACCGAGTGTATGAGCGTCTTTTTCCCTTGAGGAGGTCCGCTCTCGAAGCCTATGAGAAATGCATAGACTGGGGGGAAAATAGCCCCGCCTTCTCGCAGGCTGCAGCGGGATGTACTTGGAAAATTGTACCATAAAACCACATAGCGTTAATCTCACGTTAAAAAAATTATCGCCGTTAAAATGGCCTCGCGTTAACGCGTTAATAACGCGATAATTTTGACAGCACTAATATTTACATACATCAACCAACAGCATGAAACTCTTCTGGTTCAGCACTTTGCTTTCAGTTTAATTTAACACAGAGATAGGTAGTAATTAGGTACATTCACTCTTTGGGTAATATTTAGAAGTCAAATGAATTATAGAAGTAGTTTTACTGTAGTTACCGTAAGTTATATTCTTATTGGAGTATTGCTATTCTTACTTGAGCAAAAAAGCTACTCTGCCCACTGTTAGTAACTTCAGGTATGCAGAGATAGCCAGGCTGATATGACTTACATACACAGGAGAGGCGGGGCTAACAGAGTCCGCCTCATGAGGTTAAAACCAATCAGATAACTACAGATGTGATGAAAAAACTCCAAGCAATGCACCCTTTTTTGTAATTTTGTAATCCGTCAAGCCGGGAATAGCTAATGTGACCTTTTTAAAAAGAAATGTCCCTAAAGCTTTCCGTGGTTGAGGTTTTAAACTTACATCAATCTCCATTAGGACATCAGAAAGGGCATCATTAAGATGCTGCGGTTGCCATCTTGCTGTTATGATAAAGAAAAGCAGAAAGGTGATGAGAGCGATGAATTGTAATGTCCCATCTCCTGCGCTGCGATTGATCCAGCCAGAACTGGCCCAGGCTAACGCAAAGATCAGTTGAATCCTAAAAAGTTAAAAAACAATCCACTGGATTTGGTTTTCAAGTTTGAAGACGTTTCGCTTCCCAAATTGAACGCATGTTTTCTAAGCTAAAACAAGTTGTTGGGCTACTATATAAAACTTCGATCTCAACGCTATTTCTGACATTATGAATTAAAAAATCTTCCTGGAGGAGAAGCGAACTGTCTTCAAACGTGGAAACAAGGTCCAGTGGATTGTTTTGACCTTTTTTGAAATGACTATGACCTGGATGACTGAGACTCTTCACCAGCAGATGAAATAAATATACAGTAAATAGAAGCTGTTTTTTAGTGGATGTTCCTTACTGTCTCCTAACAATTCAATTCAATTCAGTTTATTTATATAGCGCCAAATTCACAACACATGTCATCTCAAGGCACTTTACAGTTCAACCAGATCATACAGTCAAATTGATACAAAGTTTTCTATCTAAGGAAAACCAGTTGATTGCATTGACTCATTGACTCAAATACAATCCCCCACACTAAGCATGCTTGTAGCGACAGTGGAGAGGAAAAACTCCCTTTTAACAGGAAGAAACCTCCAGCAGAACCAGGCTCAGTGTGAGCGGCCATCTGCCGAGGCCGACTGGGGTTCAAGGAGACAGAAGCAGAGATACAAAAAGCAGCTGTAAAAGGCGGCCCCGTCCAGGAAACACACAGCCAGGCAGACGAGCTCCAAGGCAGCTCCCATGCCAGAGGACGAAGAGAGCACATCCACTCAGTCACGGTCAGAGAAACAGGACCACACTGGAAAACAGGCCGATCTCCAACTTCTATTAACAAGGGTGTTGATAGAAGCAGCACAGCTGATGTTTTTTTCAGGATGACGTCACAGCCAAACAGGAACAGACGAGGCAAAGCTACTCTGAGGAAAAGCAGAGATAGAAGAAGGTTAGAGATTGAACTAACAGATTCTGCAGAATAGGAGAACAGAGAGAGAATGAAGCAGAATGATGAAATGGGGGTCCCTATGTCCTCCAAAAGTCTAAGCCTATAGCAGCATAACTATAGAGATAGCTCAGGATAACCTGAGCCACCCTAACTATAAGCTTTATCAAAAATGAAAGTTTTAAGCCTAGCCTTAAAAGTAGACAGGGTGTCTGCCTCACGGACTAAAACTGGTAGTTGGTTCCACAGGAGAGGAGCCTGATAACTAAAAGATCTGCCTCCCATTCTACTTTTAGAAATTCTAGGAACCACTAGTAAACCTGCAGATTGAGAGCGAAGTGCTCTGTTAGGAACATAAGGAACAATCAGATCTCTGATATAAGATGGAGCTTGGCCATTTAAGGCTTTATATGTGAGAAGGAGGATTTTAAATTCTATTCTTGATTTAACAGGAAGCCAATGAAGAGAAGCCAGGATAGGAGAGATATGATCTCTCTTTTTCATTTTCATTAGAACTCTGGCTGCAGCATTTTGGATCAGCTGAAGGCTTTTAACTACAGTTTGTGGACTTCCTGATAGTAAAGAATTACAATAGTCCAGCCTTGAAGTAACAAATGCATGGACTAGTTTCTCAGCATCACCCCTGGACAGGATATTTCTAATTTTTGCAATGTTTCTCAGATGAAAGAAGGAAATTCTAGAAACCTCTTTGATATGGGATTTAAATGACAGGTCCTGATCAAAAATAACACCAAGATTTTTTACTTTATTATCTGAAATCAGTTTAATCCCATCCAAATGAAGTGACTGGCTAATCAGTTTCTTTTTCAGAGACTCTGGTCCAAAGACTATAACTTCTGTTTTGTCTGCATTCAGAAGCAGAAAATTAAGAGTCATCCAGGTTTTATGTCTTCAAGACATGCCTGTAATCTATGTAATGGGTTAGCTTCATCTGGATTTATAGACAGATATAGCTGGGTATCATCAGCATAACAGTGGAAATTAATCCCATGCTGTCTAATAATTCTACCAATTGGGAGCATGTATAAAGTAAAGAGAATTGGTCCTAGCACTGATCCCTGTGGTACTCCACAGGTAACCTTTGAGCGTGTTGAAGATCTATCATTAACATGAACAAACTGAATTCGATCAGATAGATAAGATTTAAACCAGTCTAGTGCTGTTCCTTTAATTCCAACAAAATATTCAAGTCTTTCTAAAAGAATATTATGGTCAACTGTATCAAATGCAGCACTAAGATCCAACAGGACGAGCACAGATACAAGTCCATTATCTGAGGCCATGAGAATATCATTAGTGACTTTCACCAGAGCTGTTTCAGTGCTATGATGAGCTCTAAAGCCAGACTGAAACTCTTCAAAAAGTTCATTATGGTGGAAGTGATCGCAAACTTGTTTGGCAACTAC